GTTGCGATCTTTGGTTTTCAGAGTGTACTGAGGTCTATCTCTGGCTTAAAGAAAAGTGACTGATTCGGGCTACTGCGTCCCACACTATAATAAGGATATAAAGGGATAAAGCATTTGCCGTTGATCAATCCCTTTTTGGGATGCGGCACGCATTCTACTTCCATTTGTACATTCGTAGTGGCGTTTGAATGCGATGTGGCCTATACAATGACTTGCGGGGCCAGCCGATGTTCAAGTCAAGACAAGTCTGGTACCAATTAACCGACCCCGGAGGGATGGAAGGCTTGGTTGGCCCGGGCGACTCACGACCCAGGATTTGATCCCCGGACCGCTCGCGTGGTAAGCGTGCCACTTGCCACTACACCACCAAAGGAAGGGTTCACCAAATCAGTAGTATTACTCAGTGAGTACCAAATTATGGAAAACAAACTGGTTGTGAGAAACCTATACGCCCCGAAGGGGTCGCCTTTATCTCCAAGTCAGAATTCCAGCAGTCCGTAAGTGCAGCTCTGCGACAAGACATCGTGTAGTCCAGCTGTGCGGAATTACGCAAGGCCTCTGCTAACCAGGCTAAGCATCTCTTTTTCTTTTACAATTTTTAACCATGCCTATAATTCGTAAACTACCTGCTCGCTGAGAAGCCCCTGGAGGGGGAATAGGAGGTTGCCGGAACGTCTTCACTTTAGTAAGCATGCCATTGAATACTTTCCCCCCTTTTTCAGCTTATTGCAATAGTGTAAAACGTCGGTATTAAGTCGAATTCTACTCCAGAAGGTCCATACATATGCATGGCTTTCCCACACATTAATGACCTCTAGAGTAATGGGACCTCTCGGTAGTTTATCATCTGATTAGCCCTATCCCCAACTTCAAAGGGCAGCCCTAAATGCCGGAGCGCGTGGAGTCTTTCCGATTAAGGTCATTGCCGAGTTTGATGTAGTGTCTTAAGTGCGATGCTGCTGATTAGGCGCCGTACTGTCGCCCCGGTTGTCTTGGTGTAACCCGAATAAACAGCGCTCTCAGTGCTAGGGCAGGTCTTGAAGGATGTTTAAGTGAGGACAGTGGAGTTCTCAAACCAATGTTCAGCGGTTGTTGAGACTTTAGCCTTTCTAAGGTTGACATGCTCCCACGGGGATAGGAAAGACATGAGGTTGTCCGAAATTTCAACCTGTTTTCGAAGATGCGATTGTCGTAAAGCTGAAATTTGAGACGGTGGACGGGTACATCTGTAGCTGCTAATAATAGGTGACCAGTGGAAACGGGAGGCTGCTGAGGGGCTTTTCTCGAAAATACGAGCATCGATCATGGAAGACCTGCGTTCGCATGTAAAACATTAGCAAGATTGCTCACTTCTTTCTTTTTGCTTTTTTTTTTTTTTTTCTCCAGCACAAGTCTTCAATTCGATGCTTACCCACGAACAAATCTGCCATCTCTCCGAACATACTGAAAATCTGGGAGGTGATTGATTCCAGGGATGTGGAAACGTCCGTGAATGTTAAGCGTTGTCCAGACCTTTGCGGGTAATTTGCTGGTGAATACACTCCCACTGAACTGTCCCAGCGTGCCGTATCACGAAAGGAGGCGCTATCGCAAGATACGGGGGGTTGTGTTCAGCATTGCATGGAAAATCGCGGAAAAACACCACTTTTTTGCATGATAACGAGACGGAGCCTTTAGGAGAGGCAGGAAAGACATCCAGGAGTGCGTGAACAATTTTCATTCTTCCCCGGCGTTCCTGCCCTTGCTAAGTTCAGCCCTAGAAAAAGCCCCCGCATCTTGCGGTAGCTCTAAAAGAATCATCCAACGCGTGCAATCCTCCTGCACTTTCAGCCGCAGGTCTGCAGAGTATGCTCGCATATGTGTGCTCGATTCCGTGATGACCAGCCTCCACGACGCTGCAAAGATCCGCATTTTCATTATGCCGCGCGCTCAGCTTTTCCCATGGGAAGGCCGGCAGAGCGCCATGGAATTCATCACGTAGACTGCGGTGACGACATCCCCGTTGATTTGCATGCTTGCGAACGATGAGACGTCAATATGCAGAGAACCTGCCAATTCAGCGCGATGCTTTTCACTTGGTATGCATCAGCAGGCTCCCTTGTCGGGACTGACTGCAACCAGAAATTTTTTTGGCCACGGCTTCCTTGTTAATGTGCGGAGGGGATTAGCTACGGAGTAGCTGTGATTGTAACTCACTTTTATGTATTGAATATTGAATCGATGAGCATGAGCAAAGGTCTTGAGTGGCACTGGTAAAGGAGTTCAACGTTCATCTCACTCCGAGAGATTGACCAACACTAAATGCTCTTCAAGGTGTGTTATGGATGTGCCACGCATCGGACTCGTAATGCACTTGAATGCGATCTGGCTATACAAGGCTGTTTCAGGCCAGCAGCTCTCCAAGGATGGTCAACCGCCAATTGTTCCTATTTCAGAAATTTAACGCGCCCTCTCCCTCCCTATCCCCTTTCGAGGGTGTGGGTCTCGTTACGCCCAACAACCGCCACTATAGGCTTCAGGGCAGTCCAGTCGACACACTCGGTATTCGATCACTTTTCTCCTCCGATGGTGTCGAGCAGGGTGGGGGAGGTAAATAGGGATGGAAAACATGGCAAATGCTATAGTTTACCTAGTTCATTAGTTGAAAACCACCCTTTTCAAAATCACAAAGATTACCCGGTCGGGGTACCCGACAGAAGACCAGTCGCGCGAAAAGGAGGCAGAGGCAGCGGACGAGTCGCAGCGCGTGCTGTGAGATGACTCTGCCTTCTTTTCTCGTGTAGCACGTCAGTGGTACATTTTACTTGAATTGACGCGAAATAATTACAGTACGCGCTCGACTCGTCCGCTGACTCTGCCTTCTTGCCGCGCGACGGGCCTCCTGTCGGGCACCCCCTCCCGTGTACTTTGTGCGTATTCTTGTATGGTGCGCATTGTGATTTATAGGCTTGTCGCACAGATTTGTCCCACAACTGTGGCGTGATAATCACGGTCCGGTAGATTACCTGAGCAATCTCCTTTATAAGGTTGCTAATGCGGAGATAATGGCACTACCCCGCTACTAGTCCATATTATTTCATGGAAAATGGGATACAGCCACGGTAACGCACTGTAAATCAACCCACGTAGTGCAGTTGTTGGTCGATGAGGTAAATATTTTGATCTGGGACGGCACATTAGTGATTACTGATCCGTTAATGATACGAACCTTAGTGCAGGCCATCGATGTCTGCGAGCAATTGAAACCCTGTGGCGGGCAAAAATAAAGCTGGCGGCTATTGCTTGCTATTCGATATAGAAGACATTTGACCAAATAGTCCGCACACTCTCGTACATATTGCCCCTCGGTTTTTGTTTATGACTCAATTTATTATAAAAAAAATCTTAATTACCAACCTTGTACAATTACCTTATCTTGATAGCAATTGATCTCTGGCCATTTCAGACTCACCCGCAGTTCCGCCCTCAGCAGCGGCTCACGAGCTATTCCGGGGATTCTCGTTCGTTTCACCGGGCGTGGTAGATGAAAAGAAGGACGATAAGAAAATTCGAACTATTCCGACGGCAAAGACACATCCCATCACGGACGACTACATTTTGAAAGAAGTGAGTTTTTTTGGGCACCCAAGAATGCCATTTTTGGATGACTCGAAGGTTATCAGTGGTGGTATGAAACATTTCGGACTAAACACTTAAGGGTGTATTCCATGTTCGCGGGTCTAGAAGCCTTGATTGACGTGAGCCCACGATCAACGTGGTGGTCTATGATCGGTAGAGAGGTTGAGAAAGAGTTGGCATGACACGGCGCAACATTAGTCGATTGCTGGAGGACTGAGAAAGGCTACTCTTCAGTTGATTCTCTTAAGAAGCATTTCGGAGCGAGTTTGGAACTCCCAAGTTAGCTTTTTTTCAGGGAGGAAGCAACCGCATCTTTAATTATTTTCGTGACAAATAACCTTGAAGTGCAGACCAGGATCGGCATTGTCACATCGTTTTCCGCTTTTTTGTGCAGGTCTATGTCAGAAACAGCTGATTGCTCGGAAACGTGTTGTGGTGTTACAGCGCAAACCGAGACCCGCTTCTCATGCTCAGTGATCGAAGGTCGTCACCGTTTGTTCGATCAGAGCGACTGCTTTTTCGCCCCCGTATCCCATGAAATCGACCTCTGGTCATTGAGGCTAATCGCTGACTGAAGCGGATGTCCGGAACGAATTCATCAAGAATGCAGCAATACTTCCTCTTCAGGGGGCGAAGTTCCTCCTCTCCAGGGAGTCATTACACGAGGACAATGAATTCACAATGAATTCAGACGTCACGATCGCTTTCACCCACTTAAAGATGCTTTGTTCAAAGGGTAGAAGAATCGTTTCAGTTATTCTACTCAGTACTTAAGTCCATTACTTGAAATGAGTTGAGGTACTTTCTCAGCAATATCGTTTGTTCAGGAAGTCGGAACTGGGACATTCTCGATTGTTCGACGCTGCATAATGAAAACGACGAAGCGCGAGTTTGTCGTCAAGGTCAGCGTTAATTCGATCAGAATATTGTAATCGCAGTTATCACTTATTGTTGGGGACTGATTGCCGGGACACTTTCAGATCATCAAAAAATCGGTCTGTGATCCATGTGAAGAGGTGGACATACTTCTACGCCACGGACATCATCCGCATATTGTGAAGCTCTTTGATGTTTACGAAGACGAAACATATGTCAACCTTGTACTTGAGTACTGCCGCGGTGGCGAAATGCTCGACAGGTAAGGCTGTACCCTTTTTTATTGGTGATTGTCTACAGAATAGTTGTGGTATTCTGCTAGTTCAATCTCTACTGATATCCCAAAAATTTGAACGGTTGGAACGTCACGCCAGACTGAAGGTCAGAAATTCTAGGGTGTAATAGGTCAGCTAAGAACGGTTACTATGTGCAGTGCTACTCAAAGAGTACCAGCTGGCAGCTTTCGCGCAGACGCTGCGCTCAAAAGTGAACGTATGCGGACGATGTTCTCAATCATAATGTGATTAAGGGAATCGTCACGATTAGATTCTGGGAGCTTCTCTTTTTCAGTGAGGTGAGGGGACCCCTAATCTCGGGGTAGTTGTACTGCTGCAACTCGAAAGTGCGCGACAAGATATCTGCCTTTGCTTCACCGCTGCGACCGCTGCCATTCTTATTGATACGGCATGCGCACCGCCTGCGCCCTCTCGCGTGCTCCATTCCTGGCCTGGCACCGGCGCCCTCTCGCGTACACGTGCTATCTCGCGTTCTCCCTCTCCTCGCAGCGCTGTGTCTCTCCGTCGTACTACGGCCGGCCTCCTAGGGAAATTTAGTGTTTTCTATGGTGCTTTTTTTTTTCTTCTCCCATAATGTTTCTCATTGCATTTCTTGTCTGAATTATTTCGAGTAAAATAACACATTGGTTCGAGAGCCCGGCTACACGACCTTTGAGGGAGACTCATCGTTGAAGGCGTAGCTGAAGTTGAACGAACCCTTAATAAAAGCATTTTCCACGGTTACTTTCTCCTTTTTCTTCTCTGCGAGCCCATTTCGCACCAATCCGTTCGCATTCGTGGTGAAAAACCACAACACTTCGATCCTGAGACATCTTTAATAAAAAAAGAACAGTTGTCTGTGTAGTAAAACCAACACTCCTACTTTGTTGTAAGCTGAGCACGAATTTGTTA